ATAGACTACAGGCATCATGCAGGCCCACACGGATACGGGATACAGTTCAAATTATATCATCAAAATATAAAGCTGAATAATATACATATACAATATAATATACTAATATAAATATACGGTACGGTGCACACAGTCCAGACGGACATCACCTCATGTGCGACATGATGACATGTGCCATGTGATGGGCCATGGGCCATGGGCCATGTGACGCACGCGGTACGGCTACGCTACGTGTGGCGTGACTGGTGGATACTGATATTGATATAGATACATGAATCACAATGACAATGTCACGCGATATACGATTCATACAGATACAGACTCGTGTGAATCAAATGAGATCTGACATCCGGTGTGTGATGATGTATGAGTCATAGTATGATACATCATATTTCATGTAATTGGTCTAGTTTTAATCCTCAATGACTCATACAAAGCATCAAATACACATATCACTTATCGCATACCTCAATTAACTCAAAATAACTTTTAAATAACTCGTATCGTCGTATCGTGAATCACATCACTGATAACTGATATGATATGCTGGTTCACATATATCTCTATGACTCTATGGACTCTATGACTCTATATGTCTATGTCTAGTCTATGATGTCAGTCTATGTCTGTGTCTATGACAGACTCTACGACTCATCTGAGTCAAGTCTTATGAAGTATCGGATAATATGATAATATGTCTGTATGTATGATATTTTGTACCAGTCATGCTACATGGTCGAGTCATCGGATATGAATTAATTATTGATCCAAATGTAATGATATGGGCCTGGGTGATATGGGCATAGGCCCGAGTCCTCTGATCCTCTGTGCCTGATATGATGATATGATTCATGATATGAGATAGTGACACATAATAGTCATAATTAGTCACTCTTGACGTGACAAATCCTGTAAATGACCAGCTCTCAGACAAAGACCGTCAGGGGTCAGACCCAGCACAGAAAAAGCAAGTTCATAGTGCGATGTTTGTATTACAATACACTCAGTACACCAAATTCCAAACCGCACCGGACCACATTATAATTATTGGCAAGCATGCCCATACAAACGGCCCATCTACCATCTACCGTATATCATACAGTCATGGCCGATGGCCCATACCGATACCTCACATACGACGCGGGAGGCTGGAGTCACGGTCGAGGCACTGCCAGGGTTCTGGGCGCCACCACTCCGGAAAAACAATCTTCTTCGTGTTCAACAAATGAATCAGGTCGCTGCGCTCAGACAAGAATTTCGTCCTTGCCGCCGGGTTCTCGTTCAACCATTCAGCCAGCTCCTGCAGCACCGGTATCCCAGTACCGCACGCTGCGTTATACAAGTTATACCACCCTGTGACCTACCACAGAATAACACTTATTACACAACGCCTAGAACTGCCAAGAACCTCCTTTGATAGTAGCACTACCGGCACTACCCATCATATGAATCATATGTATCGTATATATATATAATGAAGTCTACATGATTCTGGACTTGCGGATGGAGTTCTAGTCATGGCAAAGTGATCATAATTAAACCTTTGTGTTTGAAGTTGTTTGCATACGGTTGCATTCCCGCATACCATACCCTGATGCGGTGCGAACCTCGACGCATCCAATGAAACATAGACTAAAATGGATTTCAGGTTGAAGTTGTAAATTTGACTACTTTGCCGGCTTCGTCGGATTAGGCCCACTGAACACCTTGGGCAATGGGAGATGCTACTTTGGAGCCAACGCGACAAGCTTCGGGGCGTAATTCCCAATCATGTTTACCACCGCTATGCTTGGGGTCAGGAATTTTCACAATGACCCACCTTGAAGGTCTTGTCTGCATAGAGCGTGAGGTGGACGATATTGCAAAACTCATCTTTGTAAGGCGTGATGAATAGGAGAGCCCGTCCAGAGAGCAACCCAGACGGGGTCTCTTTGGTAGCAAAGCAGGCCTGGCAGCAGTGCTGATGCTCTTGGGGCTCACCACCCGTGAGCACAAGTGCATCACCTGCTTCTTCTTCCTGCTTGTCTGCCATCACAGCATCGAAGTCCAACCTGGGTGATCTAAGTGATCTAGGCTCTACTACGCTTCGGTCCTGGCCCCACAACTCCACCGCTGGTATTTCTTTCTTCATGCGCGCTGGTTTATCCAATAAATGAAGCCAAGTGTACTCATCGAACGCTGACATCGGGAAGCCGCTGCTGCTGCTGTGAACGAAAGCGGCCTCTGTGAGAGTTTTGAGCGAAAATGTGAGCCTGTGACAAGCACGCGCATTCGCATATGATACGATGGGAAAGATGCTGCAAACTGCTGCACGTGCATGGATCTGGGATCGCAGAAAGCTTTGCATAAAACTGGCTTTGCACTGGTAATGGAAACGAACTACGACGAACCTTCGCACACCGACTTTCCTACCCCGCGGATCACGGACAGCCACTGCACACACAATGCAAACTGCATGCAGTGGAGAGCCGAATCTACAACGAATCTGTTGCCTAGACGTGTTGCTCGCAGGTAGCATGCATCGTGCATGCAACCTCTGCGTGCCAAAACTGTCTAGAAAAGTTCCCCTGAGCACAGGCGTAGCTTCGGGACACGTCACATAATTTTGCTGATACTGCTACATACTACGCACTCGCGACTTCTGCCAATGGTGTATCATTCTATCATGCCTCCCAAAGCACAGCACGCTGGGCATGACAAGCCTGACAAGCTGTGACAAGCCCATCATCTCACTAATTTGCCCTGGTCACATCATAACACACTCTGCTGCGCCCGGCTCATTCAAGCCAGGCAATCGGCAATGACACCAGGGCCGCTATCATGCCCACGGAAAAATTGTGAAACTCGAAGGCATTGCCTGCCAATCGCCTCTTCACACTCTCGGAAGTTTCGCGGAGCGCATCCGCAAACCTATCCTTGTCGACTCCCATTAGCGTCATCTCCTCATCTGCCAAGAGATAGCGCTGCTTGTCACGGAGCCACAGGCGAGCAGTGGGTGTAATGCACGGAACAAGCCGGCTAGGCCGGACGCGGTGCAAGCTTTGTGACCTCTGATGGTTTTTCATGAACACATGACACAGGTTTTCAATCAAATTAGAACAGGAGACACGGACACGGATACATGTGATGTGTTTGTAACAATGTCTGTATGTTGCCGTGTTGCTGCTACTAATCAATCAGCATCAATCAGAGAACTGTCAATAATCAATGTGTGATCACTGATAAACTGATAAATGTCACCGATATGCCGATGTCGCAATGAACGCCACATCCACATCCTGTGCTGCCTAGCGGCACATCAATGACCTCTTCCTCATCCCCGGCAGGATACAAGAAATCTGTGATGGCAATCAACTCCTGCTCTCGTTGAGGGAGGGCCCGAAAGAAAGCACCACCGAAAGGCCCCGAGTGGTGATAGTCATCGACGACACTCTGCACCGAGGTCATGGAGATCTGCGCCAACGCTGATTTTGAGAACTTTAGACTGCAGTTAAGAGCCATTCAGCGTATCTGTAGCGCATAGTCTACAGGCGACTTTGTATAATTATAAGTTATAAGCTATAAGTCTATAGTCTATAGTCAGTCTATACGTGTAGACTAGACTACTGGAGTCTTGGACGAAACAATTCACAGAATCAAACTGCAAGATGATTATACTTATAATTATCATTGTAATACACTAAGACTGGACTTTGACTTTAAGAACTGACATGACACAAAGAAGATTCATTCATTCATTCTACTACTACTACTACTACTACTACTACTACTACTACTACTACTACTACTACTACTACTACTACTACTACTACTACTACTACTACTACTCTCCTACAAAACCGGCAATGCTTTGGAAGTATGACAAAACTGAAACGCCACTCTTCCGACATCGCCGATTGTCCCGTCGGACCAGACAGGAAACATCGTCCAGCCAACTCAACAAGGACTCGAACACCTTCCTTCACTGACACCATGCCGCAGCATGCCATTACTGAAAGTTAGTACTGACAGTCACAGCCCGTGCCACTCAACAGCGACGGTTGAACCATGTTGCGCCGCTATGGCTATGTGGAGATCGGGTATAACCGATGGCGCCGACACCAGAGTACAACACGTCACGACACACTGGGGATTGTCTGTCGGACGTGAATCTAGGAGCACTTTTTGCACAATGCAAACAGCAAAGGTCTACAAACGAGTAATCTCCATGCGTGTGCCGTGTGCTCATGTGCCTGTAGACAACATTATCACTATTAATGATTACAATATATATATATATATAAAATATTTACATTTATTTATATTATTATTATTTGTTTGTATTTATATCATAGACTATCGACTATCAAGACAGTTGAAATCGCAACTTAGATGAATGTCCGAAACCGTATGTTAAAATTACACGGTTTACACCCATGACCCAAGACCGCACCTTGATCATTTTAAAGAAAGGATACAAGCAATACTAATTTATTAATAATACATATGCGTGAAAGCATGTAACATTACATTCGTTACTAAAACTAACATTTCAAGAAAATGACCTTATCTCGGTTGCACTGCACAGAAGCCTCATGATTCGCATAAGTCACGTGAGTGGGGCACGGCTCCAAACCTGACCACGCTGCTAGCGCTACCATGGAAATCCAGACTGGTCTTATGGTCCTAAGTCCTATGATACTATGGTTACACTGATAATACACCTCATTCAGATACACTCATTCACGCTTTCAATTTGTGCCAATTTATGCAGATGCATGATAACCCGATGTCGCAACAGAACCCGCAGCATCACAAATCCTGACCTGACGGCCTCGAGCCTGCCAAATCTGCAACGGAAATGGGCCAACAAAGCCCGAACCTCAGCCCACCCAGAACTCCTCATTCATAAATCCCGGCGTCAACCCCGACCCATCCGGGCAGCATTCAAACGAACTGACACTGATTGGAAAAAGTCGAAAGTGCCAAATGATGTGCTAGTATGCTATGAAAATGCAATGCTACCGTGCTACCAATGCTGCGCCTTTCCCTTGCGAACCGCACCCCCCAATCTTCCCGAGTCGAAACCCAGCCTGATTGCGGTCGCACATTTCCTGGTGGATCTTCCTGAACTTTGGCTCTGCATGACCACCTGATTTGATTGGGGCTTGGCCAAGGGCTGCATACACGGAAGTCTGTTTCACCTCCTCGTCCGTCAGCAAGTAGTCCTGAAGCTTGAAGTGCACAGGGATTGATGCAAGCGTGGACCAAACGCCATGCAACCTTTCGATATGGCGTCTTGCATCTGTTACCACCCGCGCATCCAGCCCTTGAAAATGAATGCGAGGTCGGCGGTGTGGCAGTTTGTGATCTGCCGGATTGACTACGAGCCAGGTGATCTCGTAGCCAATCTTCCGCAAGCCATAGACACAGCTTTCGTGGTTGGATCTCTCTATCATGTGGCCGTCCTCGTCGTACACCTGCTCCTTATCCATCAGTCCCACCACCTGGGCATCATTCCGCGGGAGACTGGTCCGGTATGCGGGTTACACGTGTGTCACGTCACATACACATACTGTCAAAAAAGTCAAGCCTGGGCCTAGGCAGCCTGGGTTATAGGATACCCAGGAGGCTTTGTGCGACCGCAACCCGGCCCAAACCTCCGACTCTAAATCTCTGCACGTCTAGACGGTCGGTAGACGGGGTAGACGGACGGTCTGCCTAAAGCCTAAACGCCCAGACTGGACTGTCTAGACTAGATGTCTGGCTGTATTCTTCTATATGTTTTGCTTTAGGCTTTAGGCATGCAACCACTGTACATGATCACACCATACAGTATCATGAATGTCTTGGTTTCGTTAATAAATGAAGCAGTCATGAACAATTCGTTCATCATATTAATACATACAATGTAATTGTAAAGTTTAATAAATATACCGTATACCGTATACCAGTATACAGTTCTACAATTCTTGATCCTTAATGCATCAATACTGTCAATACTGTCAATACTATAGACTATACTGGCCACATGCTAAGCTATAGGCCACCGAGCCATGGGCCATAGTGCCATAGGCCATAGGGCCGTAGGGCCAGAGGCACAGGGTAAACAGGCTTTGAAATGAGTACCTAAGTTGCATATTGATAAAGACTGATTGATAAATCAATCTATAGTCTAGTCTATAGTCTATAGTCTGTATGTCTACAGACATAGTCGTAGAGTCATAGACATAGAGTCTATACTAGGAGCGATAAACCTACCTATAAGTTTCTAAGTCTATAAGTTATAAGTTATAAGTATACATTATGCAGTATGCAATAAAAGCTGGTGGGACAGAGAACTTATAGAACTTATAGCCTAGTGACCTAGTGTAGTTATAGTTATAAGCTATAAGATATTGTTATTTTTGGATATAGAATGTATTCCAAAAACGTGAGACTTCAGGCAGAGGCTGCTATAGGCTATAGGCTATAGGGTTTGTGAGGACTCTTGACCGAAACCATAGGGCCTAGGCTTACTAGAAACATCATTAAATGCAGGCGACGGCAGCATAACTGGAAGCAGCAGCACCAGCATATGCAGCAGAAGCCAGCACAAAAAGAGCATGTCATAATAGGCTATGCACCCTGCAGCTCTGCATGTTTTCAACGCGACCAAGAAGCCATTTCGCCATAGAAGTGCACCGGTCGGGCAACACGCAGATACTCGTGGAACTGCGCGAATGTTTCTCCCGTGGCCCCTGTGCGATCGGCCACGCATGTCTTGCTCCGTTTCGGGTTCCGACGTGACCTGGAAATGAAATGCAAAGCTGCACAACAGATGGTTCAAGCCCGTGGCAGCTGCAAGTGAAGCTCAATAAAATCACATGTGATTTCACACCGGACCAAAGCCCAGAGCAGCGACAATCGGATACTGGACCCTATAGCTTAAATATATCTAAAACTGCAGAGTTTGCCGCTGCCTCACACAAACTAAGACCCCAGCACTGTATGACACACCCAGCCGCAGGCAGCAGTGATACTGCTTGGTCGCATGAAGCAGCCCTTGCCCCGCGCATCCTGGACGATAGAATCCGCCATCTCCTCTAAAGAGCTGACGTAGTAGGTGGGTTTTAGGGATAACTCGATCCACTTGGCCACATGCGGGTCATTGTCGCAGCTGAGGACATGGTCGATGACATCTTTGTTGAATCCTTGAATGCTGCAGCCGTCTGCTGTTGGCAGCAATGGCAATGGCCCTGGCGGACCAAAAACGATAACAGCCATCTGGAGAACCACCTGCCATGAAACATTTGGGCTAATACCTTGCCTTATCTTGTCCTCCTTACATGCTAGCAAAACCCAACATATGCATTCGTATACGATAAGTCAGATCAATATATATATATATATATATATATGTTCATATAATGAGTCACATGAGTATGCGTCATATCTCATATAGTCGTATAAGTACAAATATCTAAGTTTTACTTTATAATAAGTCTGTGAGTCTATGCAAGGGTTATGAGCCATGAGGAACAACAATCTTGCAGCTACAGTCTCAGGAGACTAAGGAATTATGAAATAGGCAGGTGCCTTCACGTTGCAGTATTGGACCATGTTCTTATTAAGTTGATAGGGTACGGTGCGACGGTATGTTACGGTATGTTGTATGTGTATGCGGCAGTATGCGGTATGCGGTATGCGAAATGTGAGACGGGTCGAGTCATGCCTCGTGTACGGTAGCGCCATCGCTCTATACAGTCTACAGTCTATACAGTACACAAACAATCTCTCACATAATCCTTCTACAACCATAACGGACAATAATTTTCGTCTTCAAGACTTGGACACGCAGTCAATCTTTAGTGTGTAACAGCTGTAACACGGTCCGGCCTCCAACGTGGTCACAGCAGCATCCGTTCCCGAACACAAAGTGATCATTTTCAACCTTTTCCCTTGCAACACTTGGCGAACCAAGTCCTTCATGGCGCATGCTTCAGCAGGATCAAGTGCTTTCAAAACAATTTCCACGAACCGCTCCATGTCCGTAGAACTCTTCTTGGGCGGAGATGGGCTGGGTGTCAAGTTCAGGCTGGCATTGACCAAACTGCTGTCCTCCCATGGTTCCAACTCCAGGCTTCCCAGATCCTGTTCTGGACGCTGCTGCTTTGCGGACATGAAACTACAGTTTACTGTTACACGTCATGGATGCCGCCACCTTCTTGGGTCCAACTAGCAAGCGCACGAATTTGGCCTAATCTAGGATGATACATGATACATGTCACATCTCCATTTAGGCTTGGGGGAGCAGCTGCTGAGGTCGGCCTCATGAGCATTCTGCCGGCGCATCGGGGTTGCAAAGACGTGCCAAAGAGGATCCTCCAAGCGTGGCTGCCTGTCTGGGCACGACGTGGCCATGGCTGTGCAATGCTATACTGACTCGACGATACGGCTGTATCGTACCGAGCTTCGAACAATCACAATCACACTCATTGATCATATACAGGACGGCAAACTTCGATGTTGCACTTCCTAGAAGAACGATGGCTGGGTAGTTTGACTGAAGGCAATCAGCATGCCACAGCCCAGAAGTAAATACGACAGGGTGGCAGGATCACTATCTGCGCTCGATCCCAACTGTCATGCCACAAAGATTTGTGATCGCAAGAAACCTTCTCCTGCACTGGCAACACATGTGTCTGGCCATGCAACAATGCCGCGGTGCAGACAACCCTGCCGATCATCATTGCCCATCATTGCAGAGCAACAAGAACATAAGCTGAAGATGGCTGAATACAGCAAAAACGGCACTTCAACTATAGTACTACAACAATGATCACAAATTGACTACAACGCTACGAATGCCGAATGCTATATGATGACGTCATGGTAAATCAATTCAATGTCTGATCAAGCCCCAAGTCGATGGACCGTGTCCTTTTGTCGTCACTTCACCAGAGCAATGCGCACTGGTCTCCGTGGAGCCAAAATTTTCCCCACTCTTGCTTGATCTTGTCCCATGCATGATTTAACAGGGATACTACTTTATGTGCATGTATCATACATCGTCATATCACACTATGTCACTCATATAACTCATATAACTTACCTTTATCATAGTTACTTCATTTCATATCTAAGTCATATCTATTATCTATATCAATACCAATGCCAATATCGTACTATCGTAGTAGTAGACTGTACACTTTTAAGTTTAAGCTGTATAATTGAAATTAACCGCAATAGGCAATAGTTATTGTGAATACGGACTTCATGCCCTAAAACATTAGGCTATGTGACATGTGACTATGTGGTTCTCGGTAAGGAGCCCTTCGCAAGCAGTGGGTTTCGCAGGTTTCGTCTCTTGTGACGTCTGCCGTCTACTCTGCAAGCTGAGTGCCACTACCGACGCGAGAACATCCAGCCAGGTCACTGTCTCAGGGTGTACATTGGTTCACAGTTCGGTGTGCGGTTTCCGGGGGGGGTCGATGTTTAGGCAACGACAAAGGTCGATTGCAATGTCAATTGAATTGACTTCAGGATTGTATTTTTGGGTTGGGGCCGAGAAAGTTTAAACATTGCGGTATAACTAACCGTTAAACCGTCAAACAGTATCCGTAGAAATGAATATAAACCTGGGGTTTGGGAACCGTAGGAACGGGTACGGTATGGTTCGGTCCGGTATGGTCGGTACAGTATATGGTATTCACGGCTGAAGTGTTCCTCGCATAAGCGCAGCTTCGGTGCAGCTTGGGCATGCTGGGTCTGTGAAACGAGGCCACCGTCGATACCCAGCTGGTACACTGTCACACCTTTCAGAGGTGCAGCAAAGGGGCAGCAAGCTGGGAGAGGGATGACAATGCGAAGGACACGAGGCAATGGAACACCGCGAGCAAGTAAGCTGCATCCACGAATTATCCTATGGACGACAACGAGAAGACATGCTAACACAGGACTGTCACGGACTGTCAACTGTGGACTATCTAAGCGGATCTACTCGGCCAAATCTCTCGGGGAAACTGCTGTCTGCTTGATTGATGGACAGGATTGGTGGAAGATAAAACAAAGTAGACTAAAACTCAACCGATGTAGCCGATGTAACCGATGTATACACTTGCGTGCAGTCTTGTCTGTAGTCTGCGCTGTACTGTACTCTATAGTCTATAGTCTATAGTCTATAGTCTGTATACATGTATACTGTATACTGTATACATTAGTCAAACAAATAGTACTCGGTACTCGACTCGTACTTGTGAACGTCTCCAACGGCTGCCTCCTCCGCGAAGAAGCTAATCATCACCGATAATCAGGGCCGTCGTGAGCTGCTGCTTGAGGCTGCTGCACCGGCGCCTTCGATCGTCTGCCGGTAGAAGGCGTACAGTGACTCCAGAGCACCTGCATAATGCAGCGACAAGATATCAGTATCTCAGGTGACATCAGGTGTGATGTGAACAGCGCAAGGCGCAAAGTGTTCATGCATTACATATGCAAGCAATGAGACTGAACTCATTGATATATTTGAAGCCGATTTCTGGGCTTATGGATGGCACAGCTCAATCCACAGAAAGCCAGACAGCAACATGATGTGATTTTGCCTAGCATCCCCCGGCCTTCATCAGAGCGATGCTGGAGCATGTTCCTGGAGGAGCCAGCAACGTAATTGCCCCGGAATTTGAGAAGCCAGGAGTTCTTGCCGCGGTTGAAGTAGATCTTGTACCCGTCGTTCAAAGGCAACCTGCGAGAAACAGGCTGATTATCACTGATAAGATAAGATAAGTAAGTGACAGTAAGTGATAAGACAGACATTTGGCATAGCGACAAGATTTTGCTGCTATATCTATATTATATTGTGACAACTGATCAGACATGAAGGACCCCGGACATAAAATGCACACTGGCACGCACATGAATACAAGCAGCTTCAAACTCATGTCTAAGAAGACTGCATATTGGGCCCCGGAATAATTGCTTCAAGCTTAGCAGCCGATCGCCCAAAACAAGAGCGATCTTCTCGAAATCGGTGGCTGCTTCCGGAGTCTTGCGAGTTGTCTCAGCATCATCAGCAGTAATCGATGGCCCTGGCCTGGCAGACCCCTCAGCGGCCTGGTTTGGCGGTGCTGTGTTCGGGTCGGCAGCCCCGTCGCTGTCGGAGATGTCATCCAGATCGGAGACTTCCGGGCTGTTGTCACCGTCGTAGTAGATGTAGTCTGCATCCTCCGGGTCATCCGGGTTTCGCACGTTGGCCTGGCCCCGGCCACTGCCCATCACACGATCTTTTGCCGATGGAGTCTTGCCCGAATCGGGTTTCAACAGAAGCGGCGACTGGAAGAAATTCTCCTCAAACCCGGCAACATCTTCTGCAGCCTGGGCCTGGACGGGTGTAGTTGACGCCGCTTTCTTGTCTGTGACACGGCCCAGGTCCTTGTCGCGTCCGGAGATCACCAGCTTGTCCAGGGACCGCTGTTCAAAGGCCATAGACGAAAATGTCCATGCTTTGGCCTTGGCTATCCCCAGCAGACGTAGTCCGAACTCGTGCTGTGTCCAAACATTGCAAAGATCGTTGTCCTGAAACGCCGCAGGCAGCCTGGAAACCACCATTTCGTGAGGTGGCTTGCAAGAACTGGCCGGAAATCCCAGCTCACATGTGGGAACATGATCGGCCCGAGGATGCTTCAGCCAAGCGAAGAACATCCGAAGCGGCCTCTTCGTGCCTGCACGCGACCGTACAGACAGACATACGTGCACACAGAGTGCGACGTACATAATGCACGGAGGATTCTTGCACATGAGGTCAAGGGTCACGGCATACAGTATGTATATATATATATACACGCAAACTACTTGCACAGTTCTATAATTCTTTGACTTACAGATGCAGCCATTTACAGTAATATACAGTACTTACATCATGCCTAAAGAAAGTCACCTTTGAAGCATATGAAGTTTTATAGTTATATGATATGACACGTGACATGATGTGGGATGATATGGGATCTGGCCTTTGCAAAGTGTCCATCGAGGAGGCTATTGGCTATTGTCTATTGTATCATATGAATCACTGAATCATAACACACAGACAGAATACAGAATCATGAAGGTTCATAGACTAACTAATAGATTTATGATAACTTGTTTTCGAGCAACCATACAGCGCGAGCTACACGGACACACGCATAAAATAACGTAAACAAATGGGAGCGGCGCAATCCTGGCACCTGCACAAACTTAGACACATAGCAGGCTGCCTGCGAGCCGTGTTCAGGCTGAGATAGGGTTGAGGCATCATCACCAACAGCTCCTACTTATCATTAAAATGATGAGTACTAATTTAATAATATATATCAAACTATCAGACTATCATCAGTGATCAGTTATATTATTATATTGTGATTATGATTCTCCTTATTATTAGGATTCTAGGAATATTGTCTATTGTCCCTGTACTGCTACTACTACTACTACTACTACTACTACTACTACTACTACTACTACTACTACTACTACTGCTACTGCTACTACTGCTACTACTGCTACTACTGCTACTACTACTATTACTATACTGTCTATACTCTAACACCAATTAAGACTAGGACTACAACCGTACGACTGCTTACCACTACCGCCACTACCTTCTTAAACTCGAGGGTTTCATGATGTTCATGGTTAGTTTTTTTGAGCTGCGTCGTCTCCCTGAGCGGTAGCGCTCCCCAATTTTTGGAGCTGTGTCTTTCCCCCCCGCGGTAGCGCTTAGCAATTTTTGGAGCTGTGTCTTTTCCCCCCGCGGTAGCGCTTGCCAATTTTTTTGAGCTGCGTCTTCTCCCTGAGCGGTAGCGCTCCCCAATTCTTGGAGCTGTGTCTTTCCCCCCCGCGGTAGCGCTCAGCAATTTTTGGAGCTGTGTCTTTTCCCCCTGCGGTACCGCTCGCCAATCTTTTGGAGCTGTGTCTTCCCCCCCGCGGTAGCGCTCGCCAATCTTTTGGAGCTGTGTCTTTTCCCCCCGCGGTAGCGCTCGCCAATTCTTTTAGCTGTGTCTTTTCCCCCTGCGGTAGCGCTCCCCAATTTTTGGAGCTGTGTCTTTCCCCCCCGGGGCCCCGCGGTAGCGCTCAGCAATTTTTGGAGCTGTGTTTTTAACCCGCGGTAGCGCTCGCCAATCTTTTGGAGCTGTGTCTTTTCCCCCCGC